TTATTTCCGCTATGAAGAGAGTAGTAGGTGAAAGTTTTGTGATGTGCACACCACGCCAGATTTTTTTCCAAAGTAATTATCGTTATATATAAGAAAAAAAAGGCTTAGGGCTAAAGCACTCCTCCCCTCCCCCTCAAAAAAAAATTAAATCCTGGATCTGCTAGTGACCCTTGTCCTGGCGATATGTACATGTTGACTTGAAAAGATTGGTTTATAAATTCATGTATTGGAAAAAAACTTGGAAGTCGAGATTTTCAATTATCCTTATTGTTTAATATCTTGTTCGGGACACATTCTTTTGTCATAAGTAAGGACCTCTTCATTTTTATTTTATTATTTTATAAAAGTTATTCTTTATGCGAAATATAATCGTAAATAAGCTTGCCTACCATACTGCAAAAACATTAGAAAAATTAAGCTACCCAAATTGATTATTGTGGGAAGGTTTGGAATTTATGAAATATTCATTATTGCTGTTATATTTCCTTTATAATTAAAATGATGTCAACCTTTTTAACTTTATGAATTTTTAGAAATTCATGATTATTTTTGTTCATGGATTCATGAATGAAATATTTTTCAAAATCCATTCCAGGAATATTTTTATTGCTAATGTTTAATGAAAAATTATGGTATCGTACATGTATTTTGTTTTCACTTGATAAAAAGTAGCTATAACTAACTACTTTATTGAGTGAAAAAAATTGATTTGTTTGGTTTGAGTGTTGTGACCATTTCAAAATATTTTTTTATGGAATAGAAGTTATTGTTGATCGTTTTATTGATAATTTTCCGACGGTTGAGCGTTGGAATGGTCAACTGCTTTTTGGAGTAGTGTTAGTGACCTTGGCCATGGTAACACCTGCCCTCACCAGCTGTGACCATTTCACTTCTCTCTGCTCATCCATCCATCGAGTAAGCATAGCTATTATTTTCCCTTATCCATAACTTTCATTGCTAAGATAAATTTTCAGAAATTATACAAGCTTCATTTGCTTCTTCTTTAGCTCCATCTTTTTATTTTTAGAAAACGCAAGTTTCGTTCTTGGGTGTATTTGGATTTACGTTCTAAAGTAATTCTTTTATTTATATACCGATTTTGTCCAACTCCCCCAGTAGCATAGAGATTGATAGCGCACTCTAGGCGCAAACCCTATGGAACTAACCATTTCATTTAACGGAAGGACTTAAAGTTAGTAACCATTTCAAAACTTCGGTCAATCGGTTGAACGCCGTTGCTTTCTATGAGAAAATTTAAATTAAAGAGACGAAATTTGACGGTTCATTTAACGAAAGAACATAAGGCTGAAATTTTGATATGATGCCAAGAATATGTCTCCGAAAGAGAATTCACCTTAACTGACGATGTACTCAGTTGCGTTTTGAAAACTGACGCGTCAATTTCATCAAATTAAGCCAGTCGGATAGTAGTTGGAGAAGGTAAAAAGTCAAATAGTCGGTTTTGTATGTTTTTTTTGGGGTGTTGAATTTGAATTTGATGTTCCCGAACGAAATTTTCGATTGCGTTCCGAGATATATGGAAAAAAAACAGCGATATTCCCGAACTTTTTTTAGTTTTTTGGACATGACTCCGAAACTATGCATTTTATCGAAATTACTATTATAATGTTCAAAATATTATTTTGTGTGACTATCTAAATGGCCCATGTAAGTTTTATCCTATACCATCAGCTATTTTTTTTTATGTCTGCACAAACGTACTTTCCTGGACACGCGTGTGTTTTCAATAGGGCTCGTTTGATTTGATCTAAAGTTGAAGGAGTGTCGGAGATGGTTTATTATTAATTTTATCATATTATATTTACTGCTTAAGCTTAGGCTAATTCAAACCTATTTTCCTAAAAGGGCCCATCCTTAGAGATTAGTGTACAAATGGTCCAATTAAATTCAATCAATTTAATTTATACAAATACCTAATAATCAAAACCCTTTTGCTTATAATAAACAATTCAAGTCCTCTATCCCAGGGATGCCCATCCCCCCAAAGGCCGATGGCGCATAAACCTCCCCTCTCTCCCCTCCCAAGATATTATATTGCTCTCCTATTTATAAAAATAGTGCCAGTGAAAGTGTAATTTAAAAATTCGTTTATCATATGCAAATATACTTACTGCGTTCTGTTCCATGTTTTACTTATGTCTCCTTGTTTGAAACTTTTCATCCAGAAAATTCATAAACTCGCAACTTGTGCCATGAAATCCCCTTCTGGCCACCACTAATCAATCCAGGATTTAATTTGGAGGGGGGGAACTTCAGCCAGAACGATTTTTTTTTTTTTAATGTATATATTACGATAATTACTTTAAGAAAGAAAGAAACTATTTACCTGTATGAAATGTAAGTGATTTTTTAAGTCCTATTAAATGTAATTAGACAAACAATAATACTTTTAGAGATAATTTTTTTCATAAAACATGGTTATATTTTACCATTTTTGGAGCAGGGGGAAGAGGGGCTTCAGCCCGAAAGCCCTTCCTCTCCTTAGATCTGCCTGTGCTTTCCTCTATCCACTTCATTACCTTAGGATTTCGACCTTGTGATCTTTACATCCCTTTTCACAGATCAGACTCAATTCCACACTCCCGTTGCTATTCAATCATTATTCACATTAAAAATGCTCCTATTGCACTTCCTTTTGATGAAACAGTCAGACACTAGATAACCATATATAATGTAACAAGGTTTCGTTTTTTTTATTCATATTTTATTTATGAATACATATTCAAAATTAAATTTAAAAAATGATTTAATTTTTACTCAAATTGAATTTTCTGTTAATTTCTTCATTTTCTATATTAAAATTTTATATGTGCTTGTTATACAACAAAATATAAACAAATTGTAGATATATACATTTTGTTTATTTCAGTTTTTTTTTTTTTTTTGTTTCATTGAATCTTCAAAATTTTCCAATGGTGTATTTTAATGATAAAATTTATTTATAATAATATTGAGGAAAACAATTTATTTTTACCCTTATAAATTTACTTAATGCTTTAATTTATTCAAACTTGACGATGTTTCGGGAAATTTTGCCCATCTTCAAGTCGAATAATTATATCTATAGTATAGATACATAATAATTATAAATATATATGTAAAAAATATAACTACACATAAAAAAACAACAAACGAAAATCTAAAATATCAAATCAATGAATGATATCTCTAGTTACAGGACTAATATATAATCCATCTAACGATAATTTTATATAATTATTGCAAAATTTATCTCCTCAAAATCAGTTCTTCATATTATATAATTCATAAGTTATTCATGAATAGTCAAATATAAAAACAATTGAAAAGAAACAAACCGAACATACAAGATATCACAAATAAGGAAAGGCCAAAAAAGATTTTTTTAACACATTAAAATTCTATTATATAAATTACCTGTGTACAGTCAGAAATTAAAAAGAATATTTGAAAATTACTCCAATGCTACACATTTTCGTCCCATTTAAAACAAAAGTCTAATGTCCACTGCAAGCTTACCTATTTATTATTTTGCTCATTGGGATTAAGATTACTGCATTATTGAAATGATTTTAAGTTTCCTGTTATTAATAATAATTTAGCTTAAAAAAAATATTTAAAATTCTAATTTATTAATTATACCTACATAATGTTGCCCAATCCCCTTAATATCTGTTTTAAAATTAACAACATTTTTAATATTTTTAGTTATATAATTTATTTTTTTTTTTATGTATAATTATGTTTATTTATTTAAATATGTTTAAATAACAGAAGTAATTTTGACTTGTTTTATATATTTTTTTTCTTTCTACGATAACAATTTTTGCTTGCCTATTAGAGACATTCAGATATTGCTTGTATTAGAGCCATTGTTCCTTTCCTCAAATTTTATCTTCAAAATGTATTTATTGTTTGACAGGAGGCTGTTATTTAATCATACAATTTATATAGCCCCTTAAGTGTTCGGTTTTGATATACAATTGCGAATATCTGTCCACTTTTTGTTCATGTGTGGGAGTCACCCTTTTGATGAATTCATTCAATGGTGGAATGCTAAGGATAAAAGACACTGTGTCGATTGCACATTTTTCTATCTTAAAGTTTCATAAAGATAAAAACTAATTTTTGGACAAACTATAAAAAATATAGTACAAATCAAATCCCTTCATGGTGTTGGGCGGTACAAGAGATAATGGGCCAAAAAACAGCACTGTCCTAGAAAATACAGGATGGTTTGTAACCCTAGTTTAAAATCTCAGAGTTGGTTTTGGGCAATACTTAATTTGGAACAACTTTGTTTTCCCAATCATTTGAAAATCCATCTCAGTCTTCAAACAGATTAAAGATTCCATAATTCATTTCCCTAAAATGCATAAAATCTTTTAGTATTCTACTTCATTCTCCTCTAGTTTGGTTATATATGTTTAGTGGTGAACCTTCTCAACTTTTATATGCAATCAAAAAACGTTGTATGATAAAGGCTGCTCCAACCTTAAGGAAGTCTATTGTATTCCATAAACTCTTTTGACCTATATCGCCATTCAGGTCAAGAATGTCAACAAATGTTTGACAATTAATGTAACATTGCTGCCAGTGTGTGAGGAATCCAATTCCATAGTAGGAGTGGAAAATGATGAGTAAGGGATTATCTATGTTGAAGAATTTCTAAAATATATTAGATCAGAATTATACTCTTCATTTACTGTTAATTTTTAAGATTGTCTATTGTTAATACTATAGTTTTCCTTAGAATTTATATTACATTATAAGAAAAAATGAATTACAATTAGACAATTGAAAGAAAGGATATTTGATTTCTGTATTCTTTTAAAACAATGTATATTCAAGAGATGTATATACAATAAGGAGAATCATTGTAAAATTTAAAAGATATTTATATTTTATTTTATATGTAATAATTAAATATCTTAAATATTTTGTTCATGTAAATAATTTCAATTGAAAAAGTTTATTAACAATTGTGTTATTTGTTATAGATCCAGATCTGGAAACGAAAGTAGTAGTGAGGAGAATGATTTGTCTGATGAATTCAGTGTGGAAGATAATATGTCTAGGTCTCGTAAATTTCAGCCTACTAAAAGTCGATGGACAAAGGAAGAAGTAATATCTGGCTTTCATTATTATTAAATAATTATTATTAAAATTAAATCTTAAATAATGTATAATGGCTAATTTCCAGTAGCTATTTTGATTAATTAAAATATTGATAATCTGTTATTAGTTTATGACCAATTTTATTTCCTAGCTAGAGTATAACACTAAAATATTGGGTTGGCAACAAATTATTTAATTTTTTTTCCCCTCTTGATGTTGAAATCAATCACATTTAGTTTACCTCTGAAGTAGATAGTTTGTAACTAGTATTTGAATGTCAATTTTTCATTGTGTCGGGGGAGGAAATAAATCTTAGGCATATTTTACTTTAAAAAACTTAAGCTGCTGAGATTTACCAAGAAACATGTGTAGTTTATTGTTTTTTTGAATTATCAATTGCATGTATCAGAATTAATTTAGTTACAAGAATTGTCAGATTTAAAGGGTGACTTAAAACAAAATGTCCAGATCCAAGTCTTTGAATATAACGTCATATAATTTTTATACAAATTTATGGTTTATTTATATTATGATAATTATGATTAATCATACGAAAAGTAATTTAATTTTTTACAAAATTTAAAAAAAAATAAAAGACCAATATTATAATTTTTTATTGGTATTCGTATCAAACAGAATCAGGGATGTGTGCATGGTCATTACTGGTAGTTTTGATAAATAACAGGAAATAATAAACCTTTGTATAATAATTTGCAGTATTTTTTTATAAGCTTGATGGTTGGGAAAATGTGGTAAATCAGGAAACAGCATGTAATCAAAATTCTTGTTCATCATGGTTGATGGAACATTTACGTGTCTCACTACAAATCCTTTGGACACTGGGCCATATGGTCTAAAAATGGGATTGCTCCACCAGAAGCACTACTTCTTGTCATATTATCTATCGTGGCTGTGATCAAGTCAACCGACATCCTCCATTTGTATACGAATTTAGAATCATTTTTTAAAAAGTGACTCCGTAAATGTCATGTAGAATTTATGTCAAAAATATATAAAATGAGTGGCAATACTATACTTATGATGATGAGAAATATATTAATATTTAATTGTTGTTATTAAAGCTATTATAAATTGAATACTTCCCCTTATTTTAAAGATTGAAAATATCAAGGTGCGAAATATTGATATTTTGGTATTTAAATCCCTACTACTACTAAACCCATCCTAAAAAATCAGGAACGTAGAATCATCCCGAGTGAATAGAGAAACAAGGAAATTTTTCCGCGAAGTCAAGAACTTTAAAACAACATTTAAGTCAAATGAAATAATAATAAGGGATGAGAATGGTGCACTCCTTACAGTGGCCGATGAAGTAACGGAAAGCTGGGAGAGATACTTCAGTGAGCAGCTGAATCCTGCACCTGATATATATCGGAACAGATCTGATCAGGATGATGAGACAGATGAAGAAATGCTCCAGGAGGCAGAAGATATTGCGGACATCATCGCTGAGCTGGGAAATCATTAAGTCCCAGGAATGGATGATATCACGGCAGAGCTGTGTAAAGTGGCGGGTCGCAAAAGGAGTAATGAACTATGCAAGGTGATAGCCCATATATGGTAAGAAGAATGTGTACCCGAAAAATGGAAGTGATCCCACAGAGTGAAATGAAAATATTTTTTTATTATCCTGGGACTGTTGTCCCTTTAGGACAAATTACATATACAAAATAAATGCCCGTATTGCCATACATAAAATTAATTATTTACAATTATTATTAAAATTAAGATTTTGAAAAAAGAATAAAACAAAAAATAGAACTATTACACTAAAAACATACTGATATGTATAATACAAACGTGGGAAAATAAAATAGCTTAAGTAAAGAAAATCATTTCTGGGGGAACTTTAAAAGTTCTCTTCTCTACATTTCATGATCATTCGGGTTGGGAAAGGAGTAGGTCGTTAAAAAGGAGAGATTTAAATGAGGAAACTGATTGTACATGTCGGATATCGGGAGGGATGGTATTCCAGAAGGAGACGGCTTGAATTATAAAGGATTTGTCAAATGCTGCAGTTCGGTGGGGAGGTGGATAGAGGTCGGAGGTACGAGATCTAGTGAGATGGAATTGAATGGAATATTTGAATTGTAGGCTGTGAAAAATATAGGAAGCCGCTGAGTTGTAATGACTTGGTATAGAAAGATAGCAAGGAAGTACAGAAGGCGGTTGGATGGAAATAGCCACTTCAACTTGGTGTTATACTAGGTTATATGCGTATCTCTTGAGATTCCGAAAACAAAACGTTTTGCGCAGAGTGCAGCAATTATAGAGGGATTAGTCTCCTGAATGTTGCGTATAGAATTTTCTCTATTGCACTATATAACAGGTTGATACCCTACATGGAAAGCACATTACCAATCAGGTTTTCGTAAGAATATGTTTACAATAGACCAAATTTTTACCCTTAAACGACTGGGTGAAAAGATATACGAATTCGGACACCCTATGTGGATAATTTTTGTGGACTTTGAGGCAACTTACGATTCTGTGATTAGAGAGAAACTTTACAGTGCAATGAAGGAAATGGATAAAGAAGAATTTATAGGACTGACTAGGTGTACTATGGAGGATATTATTTGCCAAGTCCGGATGAGCGGAAAGAGTAATGGCTCATTTGGTGTGAACACAGGGCTGAAACAGGGTGACACACTGGCACAATATAGTACTCCATAGTATCGTTAGCAGGACAGGACTGAACCATGGCAATAAAATATATATCTGAATGGTACAAATACTATCGTATGCATATGACATAGCAATTGCTGGGCGATCACAAGCTGCTGTGGAAGAAGCCTTTTGCAAGCTAAAAAATAAAGAAGCGAAAAATATGGGCCTTAAGGTAAATAAAACAAATCTGGTGGCGCATCACACGACTTTCACTTACCGCCTGCTTCTTAGCAGAAATAAGTATTTTCAGACAAAGGGAAAGTGAAAGTAAAAATTATTGACACTATATTTATTTAAAATTCATTTTGAGTATTTTTATTTGTCTAAATACTCTTATATTCTGTATTATATGCTGTATTCTATACAATTAAATATTAAATAATACCAACGATGCCATTTATGAAAACCTCATATGTATATGAACATAATATTGTCGAAGTCATATTATATGAAGCACGTGTTACATATGGAAGCCTGTTGTAATCTTTCGGATGATCTCGGGCAAGCTCGTATTCCTTTAATTTCTCTATTACAACTATTATCCGTTACGATCTGTTATTTCTCCTCTAGCTCCTCTAGTTAATTATAAAATTTTTTCATATTTTATATTTAACTATTTTTTATATCAAAGATTAATGTGAAATGTTTAATTATTTCAAATAAAAAAATAAAGGTACTTTAGAGGAAGCCAATATTGAAAATATGGGCTATTAAGTCCTGATAGAGAACATCAATGAGAATAAAACCTACATTATATTAAAAACTGCTTAATAATACACTGATATACTGAGTTTAATAAAAATCATTTGAGCCATTTTTGAAAAAATCATAAAAATGTGTTAAATCGATTATATAAAGTACCACTTCTGGTTTTCTGATTTTGATGAAATTGTTGCTATAACATCGAAAGCATATAAAAACCTTAAATATGCAATTTCACTTTCATACGACTTTTCGTTTTTAAACTAGATAACATACATACACAGACCATTTTGCGGGGTTATGTTATTTATACTCAGGAGACCTCAAAACATGTATTTCTGTTGAAAACTCAAACTCAAAAATGTTCATGATCCCATTACTTACCGTTACTATATATTGCATATATAGGTAAGTGTAAGTAATAAAACGAACATGATGCGGCTCTACATGATGTATTTCTGTTGAAAACTCAAACTCAAAAATGTTCATGATCCCATTACTTACCGTTACTATATATTGCATATATAGGTAAGTGTAAGTAATAAAACAAACATGATGCGGCTCTACAACTACAAGTTAGAATGGGGGATTTTACTTATGAGGTCCTTCCATGTTTTCAATACCTGGGATATTAATCACAGAAAGGATGAAAGAGGAAACTAAAGTAGGATGTAGATTAGCAGCAGCCAGTAGTCAATTAAGTCAAACTACGAAAATAAGGCTATACAAATGTCTAATAAGACCAATAGCGACTTACACATGCGAAACGTGGACAATCAACAAGACAGTCGCAAAGCTTGATTGCTTCGAGAGAAAGATTCTGCACGAAAATTCGGAGTTGTATAATGAATACCAGGATTTAAGTTTCTCCAACTTCACCAGGTTGCAGATACTGAAATATATTGGACTCATCGGCAGGATGAAAGACTACAGGTGTCCTCTAAAAGCATACAAGAACACACCAGGTGGGACAAGACCCAGTGGAAGACCCAGATCACACTGGCAGGATGGTGTTCTCACAGACATGAGACAGGCAGGAATGAGCATAGTACATGCTGCAGATAGGTTCGTTAGGGGCAAATAATTGAGCAGGCCAAGGACCGCTTTATGCGTCTGTCGTGCCATTAAAGAAGAAGAAATCCCTAATACTCATTAAAGATCAAAAATATCCAGGCCTGATATATTGACTTTTTTTTTTAAATATTGAAAAAATATCAAAATGATATATATCAATAATTTTGTTTTAGATATTACCATCCCTACCACTGGGAGGATATTGTCTTCACTGCTGTGGTGTCTGGTTGCTTACTCTTTGTTAATACAGCTATATGCTGCAGGGTTCTGTACCCAGGGATATGCTGATGATTTCAGTTTATTAAGTAAAAACAAAATTCTGTAGAGAATTTCAGTATTGCTCCTTGTGACAATGCATCTTATAGAAATAATATGCCTGTAAAATGGATTTTCCATTGAGCCAATTTGAGGTGAACCAACGTCTCTTCACTCACAGAAGGTGTATAATAATTAGACTGCCTTGTTTGGACGAAACTCTGGTTTTCATTTCTAGTGAAGCATCCAAGGATTTCCCTCCATAGCAAATTGAAATGGCAATACTCAAAAGCACTTTGATGCCATTGGCTTTGCACAAGATATGTGACCCTTGAATGGGCCTATGGCTAAATATAGCAGTAATTAGACCTTTGTTCTTTTTTCATTGTACACACCTTTGGGTTTTGAATGGCTCTATGTAGGGCTATCTATGACTATAGTTGACTTTTATTCTCATACACTGTTACAGTTTAGTAGTATAGAGCCAACTGCAAGGGAATCTAGAACCTAAATTACAAAGACTTGTTTGCTTTATGACAACTATTGCTATTAATACCACTCCTGCTCCTGCTATAAATGTTCTTTTGAACTTAAAACATTGTACATAAAAGTGGAAGTACAAACTCTTAGTGCTGCATACACACTTACCAAGTGAGGAATAAGATCCAAATCTCTGATTTAACAATAGGAATGTGGTTATTTGTTTGAATAGATTGGCAGGAATGACGTTCTAGCAATGCACTCATATCTTTAAGTCAAGTAATAGTGGGACATACACTGTTGTGTAAGGATTGGCCATACCAATTCACACAGACCATGTAAATGAGTTATATAAAAACAACATTAGCAAGGCCCTTGTGGTTGTAGCTTATACTGGCAGATAATGCTTAATCCATTTCAGATATACAATCTTAAATATTTTTTACCATTTAGATTTGTTTAGATAGATTCATAAGTTTATTGTTATTTCAATAACAAAAGATTATATGTGCACTAAATGGTATCCTTTAAACTTTTTTATGTTTAACCGTTTTACTGTCAGATCCCTGACAGAACAAGATTTAGGGTCATTGGTATGAAAAATGGACAAGCCTGGGGAGGGAATTTCCATATATTTATAATACTTCAATACTTCAGTCCTTCAGACTTAGGTATTAGCAATTAATGTCTGTGCCCAAACTCTAATATAGGAGGGAGTGAGGAAAAAGCAAATTTCAGATAGCAATGGATGAAATAATAATTCCAGTTCTGTAATATATAATTCAATTACTTAAGTTTTTTTAGATTATAATAGTGAAAAACCACCACATGTCTATCTTCATCTCTTTTCACTTAATATCTAGTTTTGTGATTTTTTTATCAGAAGATGTTCTCCAAAATGTTTTAATGAAAAGAGATTGAAAATGTCTTTTTTCATCATTTGAAAGATCACAACATTTTCATTAATATTGACTATATCATTCATCAGAAAGAATCTATTAAGTTCCTAATTATATTAGGTGTTTACAAAAGAACTTGTTAACAAAACTGTTAATAAACAAAAAAATGTAGTCATAGTTTTATGAGATCATAATATATCAATTTGTTTAATCAACACATTGTTTTTTGCTTGGAAAACTTTAAAATGGTATAGGGCATTAAACTAATTGCTTAAGGTTCATAGAAAAATTGACAACACTTGAGGAAAGTTCCAGTTTAAAAAATAAAACTTTTTCAACTTTTCTATTTTAAATTTTGAACTGGAAATTCAATTTTCATATTATGAAATGTATGAATGAAAAATAATTTTATTCTGGGACTACTGTCTGCTAAAAATAATAACAGAGTTACAAATTTATGCGTCTTAGTCTATTCAATAATTTGCTATTCAAAAGAAAAAAGAAAGCTTAATAAGAAACAAACTGATTTTCTTGACATTTAAGTAGATACCTTTGTTTATAAATGAAGGATAACTATTTCTAAGTGTTATTAGTTATTTTTCATAGTAACATTTAAGATTGCCATTATGGAACCCAATACTTATTATGAATATGTGGATATGGTGCTAATGTATAAATGCTTTAGAAATGGTGTACGAGAATATGCTACATAGTATCCCACCATATTTTTCCTGTAGTTAAAAGGAGGTGCCTAACAATTAAGTTTCTTGCACTATCCAGCCACCAGAAAAGACATTCAGGTCTGGTAAATCTGGTTTATTTTCAAATAAGGTAGGTGGATCAGCTCTTGGAGGGGAGTTTTATGGTATGGTTGGAGACAATTCCTTCTCAGTATTCTAAGGATAGTGATATTAGAACTGTCTAATTTGTTAGGAGTTCTATGGGTGCTGGTACAAGGATTTCTTAAGGATGTTCTATCATCTACTTTTTGAACTTTGGAATAGCAAAATAATATAAAGATTGACTTTCCAGTTCAAAATTTATAATAGCAGAAAAGTTGAAAAGAAGTTATTTTTTGAAACCAGAACTTTCTACAGTTTTTTTTTTTTCTGTCTTTCCATGAAACCTTAACAATTAATGGAATGTCCTATATAATTTTAAAATGTATTCATTGCTCCAGTTTTTCAAGCAATAAAAATTTATTTTTCTGACTATTACAAAATGTCATCACTTCTTTTTATAATTTATTTGTTTAGTATTTAATACAATTAAATGATTTATTCTAGGATATTAGGTTAAAACAATTAGTAGAAGAATATCCAGACAATTGGGCTGTGATAGCCCAACATTTTCCACAAAGATCAGACTTACAGTGTCAGCAAAGATGGCATAAAGTTGTTAACCCAGAGCTAGTCAAGGGTCCCTGGACAAAAGAGGTATTGATTAATTTTTAATCTATCACATGTTTATTTAATAAAATCTGTGTTTGTTAACTTTGCTTATTCAGGAACTGTCATGTTTTGTTTGGTTAATTGTGGTACCAAAAAAAAAGTTAATTTAAGTAATTAAAGATTAGTAACATCAAACAGCAAAATATATTCTTTCAAATGTGAGTTATTTAAAAATATTTTAGTTAGTTTTTAAGTTAAAACGTCCTTGTTTTTATATGTAATAAAAATATTAGAGGTATTAACTTTAAAGCTGCTAAATTAAAAGCTCTAAATAATCAAGAAGACAATCTTTAATACTTCCGAACCTTAAAAAATGAAACCACTAAATTGCTCAAAAATAAAAAAAAGAAATCTTAAAAATAAAATAATGGAAATTGAAACTATTAGAATGGAAATAATGTAAGAGACATGTACAAAGGTATAAACAGATCACGTAAATGTTTAGGGCCCATCACGTCTGAAATTAAAATAACAATATTCTGACCAATCCGGTGGACATATTAAATAAGTTTAAGAACCACTTTGACAATATTTTAAATACGGGAAATAATTATCTTTGTCCTCCTTCTGAGTACCACAGTGCTGAATCGTTAATAGAAGAACCTAGTAAATAGGAAGTTGCAGTAGCTATCATAAAATTAAAATCTTACAAAGCAGCGGGAATCAATAATATTCCTAGAGCTCTAATTAAGGCATGCAGGAAAGCTGGAGTTTCTAAAATAAATTTGTTAGTTAAAAAGATCTGGGGAGAATGAGAGATTAACTGAAGAATGGAAAGAATCTATTCTTATTACGATTCACAAAAAGGGCCCAAGGACGAATTATATCGAGGAATTTCACTCCTGATATGTTATAAAATATTCACTTTATTCTCAAATAGTTAAATGACAGAATACGCTAAGGAAATTATCGGAGACTACAAATGGAAATTTAGAGAGAACCGTTCGACTATTGATCAAATATTTTCTTTACGGCAAATATTGAAGAAAAAATTAAAGTAAAACGGTGTAATTGTTCACCAGCTGTATATCGATTTTAAAAATCTATTGACTGCTAGAAGCTGTATAATATTCTAATTGAGCAGGGAATTCCAAAGAAATTGGTAAATCTAGTGAGGATGTGCTTGATGGAAACACTCAATAAAGTTAGAATCGGTATTTATTTATTCGAAAAGTTTCAGGTTTGTTCGGTTTTAAAACAAGGTGATTTCCTCTTACATGTCCTGTTTAATTTGGCATTAGAACATGCCATTAGGGAGTTAATGCTTACCGAAAAAGGGTTGGAACAACACTCGTGCTTAGGTATGCGGGTGATTTGGTCCTGTTAAGCAAAGATACGGGGAAGAAGCATGCTTTAATAAAGGTTGGTAAAGAATTATGGCTCAAAATAAACACGGACAAGACAAAATATATGGTTAACTGCAAAAATAGCGATAATTCCGGTTATATCGATATAGAAGGGAATATGTTTGAACTCATAGAGAATTTTAGGTATCTAGGGTCTAGGATTACCAGAAAAAAACGAAATTGAAGAGGAGATTAAGGTTAGGCTGAAGGTGTGAAATGCTTGTTACTTTTCTGTGGCCAAACTACTTAGCTCACGCCCCCTGTCCCAGAACTTAAAAACTAGAATCTATAAAACAATTATCCTATCTACTTTACGTTCTTTACAGATGTGAAATGGGGCCACTTACATTAAGGGATGAGCAACATCTTAAGGTTAAAAATAAAGTATTGTGTAGAATATTCAGACCGAAGAAGGATGAGTTAATCAGAGAGTTTAGATGGTTACACAATGCCAAATTGCATGAACTGTATCCTGTTAATATAATTGAGGTGATTACATTGCGGCAAATCAAATGGGCTTTTAAAATTGTTGTGCTTTGTGATGAAAGAATTCTTAAAAGGTTAATATTTGTTTTGCCAACTGGTAAACGTCCGAGGGGTAGACCGAAGTGAAGGTGGGAAGATTGTGATAAAGCCGATCTGAAGGGATTGTGGTTGCACAGTGACCAGTGGAGAGAGATGTGTAATAAGTGATTGGTGGTGTCGTCATCGACCCTTCGGGTTCACTAAGCCTTTTATTATTATTATTATTATTATTATTATTATTAACTTTAAAATCTCCGAGTCCGAATGGGATAACAATGTAATTAGATAGAAATTAGCTTATTCAGATATTAGTAACAGACCAAGGTGCCAAGTTTGAAGAAAAAATCAAGTTCCTAGGGCAAGACTGATATTTACATCGATATATTAACTTTAATCTTTTGGTATTAAGGAAAGTAAAACTAATTATTTAAAATTGTGAGGTGGGACCAAAATCAAAATTGATTTTCTTCAAATTTTTTTTATATTGTGTTATTCATCTTTAAATATAAGAAAATAAAACAGAGGTTATTTATGAATCCTTTAATACATATGTGTTTATTTTTATTTTAACAAATCTTAGAAATTTATTTAAAATGTGTTTTCATCAGGAAGATGAAACAGTAGTAAGCCTAGTGGAGCGATTTGGACCTAAAAAGTGGACATTGATTGCTAGACATCTAAAAGGTAGGATTGGAAAACAGTGTCGTGAAAGATGGCATAACCATCTTAATCCTAAAATTAAGAAAACAGCCTGGACTGATGAGGAAGACAAGATAATATACCAAGCCCATCAGCAATTAGGAAATCAGTGGGCTAAGATAGCCAAACTGTTACCTGGAAGGTATGATTTTATCTTTTAAATTTAATCCTATGATTGTTTTATTACTATTATATTTTATTGATTTATTTAATTAATTTCATAGAAGTCATAAGGCACTAAGCAAAGCTCAAATTGAACATATTTTTTCTTTGCTTTATGAACATTTGTCATTTGTTGGTAATGTAAGCTAAATTGGTACTTGATTACTTCTTCAGAAGACCTATAAGAGAAAGTATTGTATATTTATTTTTATAATGAACAATAATTACATGTTTTCGTAGTTTAATTATTATCAACCTGAAAATTATTTGGCTGAAAATTCGATTTCACATTTATTTAATTTAAGTTGTATAATTTTAGGTGAAGGCTTACAGTTTTGGTCTTTGTAAATGATCTGAGATCCAATAAACTACAGACTTAAATAAAAAATATATTTATAATTTAGATTATAGACTTGATTATATTTGTTGTTGCGATTTCCCAGTTTTTCTCAAGATAATATAAATACTGTGTTATGAGTAGAGAACCGATATTCGTGCAGTAAAAAACCAAAAAACATGTAATAAAAAACTCGAAATATGCAAAATCGTGGTGTAAAAATCCAAAAAGTGTAAATTGTATACATTACACACAAAAATCATAGTTTTTGTTTAATTTATAATATTAATGATTATTTACTCTTATGTTAAGGGTTATAGCCTCTAAATTGAAATTAGGCATAACTTGAGTAAAAATCTCATTCTTATTTAAAATAAATTTGAGTTCTACCAATGGGTAGTTTCTCTTCATGTTGTACATGTCATGTTACCAATGTCACATTTACTTGTTGTATTTTCCATGTAATACAGTTGTAAATTTCATTAAAAGAAGAAAAAAATTATTTAAAATGAACTATGATCAACCTAATTCTATATGAAAGAAAAGCAGCTTACAAAAAATTAGTCATAGTTTTTAAAAACGGTGCATTTTTGAACTAAGGCATGATTTTACAATTGTAAATGAATTTAAAATTTTAATTAAATAGATTTTGAGTTAAGCTCTTTAGCTTTTATTAAAATTCTCAGCCCTTTGCGTAACCCGGCAGCGTTTTGTCAAAGAGCATTCAGCTATGTGGCAATAAAACGTGCTTACAAATACTTTCATACTTGTTTGTTTGAAAGCTAGAGAAAATAAATATATAAATGTTTTGGAACCACAATAACAGAACTACGAGGATAAGGAAATTTGTGATTATATTCAATTGCATTAAATTAAATTATTAAATATGTTACCCCCAATAATACTATTATTTATACAATAAAATGTGTGCACTTAGATAGTAATTTGGTTACCTATATCAAACAAAACGAGTCTAAAATATCCTCAGGGCTCCTCACTCTCTCCGACCCTTTTCTCTTTTTATATTAGCTACCTTTCTGACTCCATTCATCACTTATATGCAGACGATCTCCAAATTTACTTATCGTTCCAACCTTCTGAGATGCCTAGGGCTACCCGAAAACTGCAAGAGGATATTGGCTATATCCACAAGTAGCTAGAAAAAAACAAACTGAAGCTGAACGTAGATAAAACTAAGGCAATCCTCATCGGTTCCAGACACCTCTTTAGTTCCCTTCCTTTCTTTTATTTATTACCTCAATAACCGTCCCATCCATTTCTTTCTGTCAGTCAGAAATCTCGATGTAATCTTTGATCAGAACCTTACATGGAGATCTTCGGTAAGGACCATTTTCGGAATCTTTTTGACAGGTATCCTTTACACATGTCCTGCTCATCTGAGTCGGCCGAGCTTCACGAACTTGGCAATGTCAACATCATTGTAGAGTCTCACCAATTCAGCATTCCTCCTTCTTCTCCATACATTGTCCTATCTAACAGGGTTAATCTGATTAGAGACAGCTTCATTTGGTGATCTCCACGTAACTTTGTGTATTCTCATTCCTGGGAACATAGTACTTCCTACAATTAGGTCTTGAGAATTTGCTAAGTCAATCAGCCTTTGACCGTGATTGTAAACTTGTGTAGACTGAAAGCTCCTGTAGTGGGCCGGTGCACGTATTCCTAGCCTACTTGTGTGTTTAAAGCTCCCAGAACTATCTTAACGTTGTTAGTGGGACAAGCCGCAAAAGCTCTCATGAGATCTTCGTAGAAGCCATCTTTATCTTCCTCTGGTGATACTCCAGTAGGTGCATGGCAGTTGATGAAAGGGATGATAAAGAATTTCCCTTTAAGTTGGATATAGCATAGGAGAGATGAGTGTAATTATAAGACCAGTTGGCGGGTTCTTCCTCTTACAATAAATCCAGTGCCGAAGGTGTGGTAGGTTTTGAGGCAGCTGTAGTACAGGGTGTGACATTTCTCTTCAAGTGTTCCACTTCCAAGCTAGCTGACTTATAGAATTTTTGGTATATAATTACAATTGCTCGCCAACACTTAATTAATTGATAAGAACCATTTTACTTTTACTTTTTTTTTTCTCTCAGTATTTTTTGTATATATTTGTATTATATCTACATTCCAGACTGATTTATATATTTTTTGAACTCTGCTGTTACTCTAAGGGGCCTTAGTTCCAGAATAAAATTATTTTTCATTCATTCATTTCATAATTTGAAATATAATTATTTGGCTTAAACTCGATGTATTACCAGATTTTAATAACAATATTAACACCTCAGTTCTGAAAACTCGGAAGAAACCCCAACTTAAATCTCTGGTTAAAAAACATTTTTATTAAAACTCGATGTTAATACATAAGCGGTCATTTGTCAGAAAATAGGCTGATCCTTCGGTTCTGAAAACAATTTCAAAATTATGCACAAGAAATCACTGCTACGTGTGCTGTAAGTTAAGATCAGTACACAGGTGTTGTCTAGAATAGTGATCCTTCTGACAAAAAATTTACTTTTTATAAAATTTACAAAAGAGGAAAATCCAAAACCGTATGAGTGACTTCGATAATGATATTCTATTCAACAGTGTCTATTTGAATTTTACAATCATTAAGAAAGAGTTCCCTACAACCCTAAGACTATTAGCTCTTTTAAATGTAAAAATCAGTGCAAAGGATTTTGAAAAATCTCGGATTTGAGTATAAACGTTTTGTAAAAGGTAAGTGAAAATTTCTCCTTAAAAGAGACATCACTATGACTTGTCAATTTTCTAAGAACAAATCAATCATTTAATCTAGAAACAAATCCTGTGGAGAACATATGTACCTCAACAAGACTTAAGTCAATGACCTTTATTCCTGAAAAAATATTTAGCGAAGTTTATATTGAAAAAGAGGTTTAAAAAACTTAGTTTGGAAAGTTAAGTGCCTTATCTGCCAAGCAGGTTGCAATTCTTATTTTTTTAACAAGTGAGTGTTCTAATTAAAGACCTCATCAAAATTCTTCATGATGAAATGGACCAATTTTCATTTAATGATTAATGGCTGCTTCCCAGCCTTGAAAAGTCATTGGTAATTACTATGAACGATACTCCATATCTCTCATCATTAAAAGAATAGTCTCCTATTTCCAACTGCAGAAATAATGGCATGAGATAATGGTGTGTTTGTAATTAAAATATATATTTATTACAACGCAATTATTTTTCAGACCCACCTATTTTTGTGAAGGCAACTGTAGATAGTTTACTTTTACATTCAGATTTCTATTTGATTATTTAATGAATCATTATTTTTGTTTTTTAATGTTTGTAGGACTGATAATGCTATAAAGAACCATTGGAATTCAACAATGAGAAGAAAGTTTGAACACGATGATAAAAATGAAAAGGAGTTTAACGTTAGTTTTACTAAATCGAAAAATTTGAAAATTAAAGCAAGAACTTCGTTAACTTTAGATTCAAGAGTTTCAGCTGGATTAATCCATGATACTAATACTAATTTCTCAGAAAAATTATCCAATGAACAAAGATTCCAAAAATTTGAGGTACAATAAATTTTGTTAAACTAAATTTCATCTGATCAAATTTTTTTTTTAATCACTCATTTTCATAAAAATTAACTTTAAATTTATGGGTTTTTTTTTCTCTTTTCCTCAAGGTTCAGGAGGAATATGTTCATCAAATTCAGCATCCTAACACTCCTGTTAAGTCACCTCCTTTAAAGCAGTTGCCATTTAGTCCATCCCAGGTAAGACCTAATTCATTTTGTTAAATTAACTATTATATTCTACATGAATTTTTTCCATGAGATATTGTTACAAATTATGTAATTATTTTATTATGTCAAATATGAGACTCCTTTAAATTTAAAATGCACTCATTTCTTTGTTGATTGTTGAAATGTAATAATGATGAAACCTTGAAATTTGAAAACATTAGAAATAGAGCATTATTTTTTAGGTATTTAATGATTAAAAGTAAAATAAATTAATAAAAGCTCTTATAATTAAAAACTAGTTATTTATTTCACAAAGTAATAGAAGATACATAGTTTAAGATTTAATGTTAAAAATATATTTTATAAATGTCGAGATTTAAATTTTGTTGTGGAAAATGTCTTAATATTATTTTAAAATCCTTATATATAAATGTATGTAAATCAAATTTTGGACTTTAAATTTAAAGTGTTTTAAAAAAAACAGTGTCTTAAATTCGATACAATCAGATACCATTTTTACTTTCACTTTCTTATTTATGAAATATATAGTAACAAAAAAGATCATGAAAAATTTCGAACCCGGGTTTTCACTGCAAATAAACATTTTGAGTGTGATTGTGTATCTGAACAGCTTAGTTCATAAAGAAAAGTTGTAAAAAACTGTAATTACTTATTTAAAATAGGTGCATGCCTGGAATGTTGCATAACTTTTTCGCCAAAATCAACTAACCGGAAATGGCACTTTATATCATTGAATTTATAGATTTTTTATAATTTAGTCAAAAATGGCTCGATTTTGGTTAATCTCGTTATTTCTGTTTAAAATCAAGTGATCTTTAATTTCAAACAGGTATTATCCTCATTGAAATCTTCTGACAGAGCTTAAATGCCAAATGGGTATTTGTGATTTAGTGGGTAGCCATGGAATCTACCTTCTTATCTCATGGAACCTCTTCTTATCATTTTTCTTCAGCATCACTTGTTATTCAATTGTTTTCTATTTTGTTTTTGTTATTGTTAATCTTGTTGTATATTTAAAATGAACACAGTAACACTTTTAGGATTGCCGTCTTCAGAAGTATAGTATAAGTTGTATCATCAATATAAGTTTGTCGATCCTTCAAGTGGCACCCTTACTCAGCACATAGAACGATTATGGGGCTCAGCTATGTGGAGGAATAAAAACCACTGAGGAACTGCGAGGCAATACCTCGATTCATATTTATGTGAATTTTCATGGTGGCGGTCCACAGAGATAAGGACCCCTTCTAGCTATTTTAAATAGCATTATGCTATTTCGTCTTTCAAAATAAATAAAATCTTGTAAAATAAGTGTTTTATTATTATTATTATTATTACATTTCTTTTTGTCTATTTCAATTTCCATAATTATGAATAAGAAGGTATGTATTATCAGTATCAGAATTATCAGTGTTCAGGTTATAAACAATGGTGGATAGCAGTCCATGGCAATCCTCTAAATCACAAGTACAACCAAATACCAAATTTTCAAAATGTCTTCCTCTTAAGTACTAATCATTGTGTTTATTTAAAATAAGTAACCATTTCATATTGTTTTGTTACTAGTTATAAAAAATGGTTAAATATAAACTATAGTAGAATTTTATTATTAATTGTAGAAGAGTTAATGGTTAGAAAGATTAGACCGAGATATTGCGAAGACACCCGATCCTGTGTAACGCTATGTCAATGTGTATATGCTATATCATAGGTGAGGAACATGCAGGTTCTGATAGTATATGTAGGGCTTTCATAAATAATACCTCTGATAATAATTAACATTTAAATGAATATGTTATACCTGTTATAATTTTTACTTTTTCTTAGCTGTTTGTACTTAAAGAAGGAAGATGATTTTAGTAAACAGTAACACTGGGGTATATATTAATGAGAGCTGTATTATCAAATTTCCTTAATATCATATGTTTATAAGAAAACTTTTTATTACTTATTACCTTGGTCTGTTTCAGTTTCTTAATAGTCCAAATTTATCGTTTGATGTAAATTTGGCCTCAACACCGGTTCGACATGGTTGTGTTACACCAGTTAAATCAGGCATCGAATCACCAGACACATTAGTTACCCCAACCCCACTTCCTTTAAATTCAGCCAATAGCACTCCAGATTCTGAAAAAAGGACTGAATATACACCTATTAAAATAAGGCAGAACCTTGGTACACCTCGTACTCCAACTCCATTTAAAAAAGCTTTAGCGGAAATGGAGAAGAGGATAGGACTAAAATACCATGTGAGTATATTTTAACTAAATCATATTTATTTAAATCAGCTATTTACTCCTGATCAAAATTAGTATACTACTTTATTATTTCTCCACATATAAACATGATGAAATTAAGAGATTTAGTTAGTTTTATTAAATATAGATAGAAAATAACTTTATTCTAGTTTTATTAAATATAGATAGAAAATAACTTTGTCCTGGGACACAGCTCTTGAGAATAACAAAATAGAGCAAAATTAAAAGATTACATCTGGGCAAAATAAAATCAATAGAAAAAAAAAGAAATAATGTAAAGAAAATATAACGTAAACATTCTATATACAAAACAAACAAAACAATTAACACTATGACAAGACACTTAAAGCTATTCACACTGATAGACCAGTATACACTTTTAAGAAAACAATAAAGAATTAAAAAATAAAAATATATTAAATTCTTCATTAAAATGAGCTTTATGTTTCTGTTGAGAAAACAGAAAGCTGAACCTGACAGTATAAAGTGCCTGATTAATATATAAATAAATTATCATTTAAATGTTGATTAATGTATAAATATATCATCATCATTTCTTAACGTAACAATAGGCAAGAATTTAGGAAAAAGGATACTGGCAGTTGGGAAGAGGAGAGGAGGTTTTGTGCAGTCTTTAATGTAGAAATCTAGCCAAGTGTCGGACCTGCTAGTATGTTGAGTGGAAGAAAAAGGGACGATAAAAAGGTGAAGGGAGAAGAAAAGATCTTCTATATAGGATTTGTCATTGGAGTTAGATAGGAAATTGGTATTGAAGTCACCAGAGATGATTATTCTGGGATAGAGGGGAACGAAATTCAATAGGGTAGATTCAAAATGCAAAGGACGGGTGAAATGGAACAAGAGGAGGATGATATACCACAGCGTAGAGGAGAGGAGAAGTATTACAGAGGATTTCAACTAATAGGTATTCAATTTGTGGGTGGTTGGAAGGTGGGGATAAATCGAGGATTCGGGTCTTCAGGCTATTGTGGACAAATATGGCTACTCCACCGCCAGTCTAGCTTACCTGGCCATGGCAGAGGAGGTTGTAATTAGGCAAGGAGACAGAAGAAAATATACTATATATATTTGTAATATATATATAGGTGAAAAAATAACATGAGTTTTCTAATTTTGATCATGAGTGTATAATAACAAATAAAGGCTAGGGAAATTTGAAACTAATGTACTAATATAATCATTCTAGAAATTTTTACTGTTGGGTTGTCCATCTTTTAAATCAGGAAATAAATTTAAAAACTTCTGATCAGTTCTAAATGGCTGAAAACAGTAATTCGACTTGTGTCCAAATGTGATGCAAGTTCTCTGACTGTTTTATGAGGGTTGAAGAAAATTTAGAAAACGAACAATCGTTCTTTCTATACAAATCCCTTCATCTAAAGCTTAATTAGTATTCATTGCTGCCTAGGTAGCGAAATGACCAAGTTTGAATTCATATTAATATATATCGTTCGAAAATCATGTGTTTCCATTGTCACATTGTAATTGAAATTAAAATCTGTATGCCTATTTGGGGATTAAACAAAACACTGTTAGTAAATAGCGGGTTAGCAAGTGTTTATTATAGATGGTAAATGTTTTTCTTAGCATCAACAGACAATGTGTTAACCCTCCCTAAACTTTATTTAAAAAATCAGACATTTCGTGTGTGACAACCCAGTATTTATTATAATTCTAACCATTAGTAAACTTCAAACTATGATCATTGATCTATTGGAAGAACTAATATTATCAATGAATGGAAACACTTTCTTTAGAATTTCATTAGATATTTCTTACTTATACCAACGTGATTCTCGATGCCTTATTTTTTCTTCACTTGTATAACCTGTCAGGCAGCCTCAATGACAAATAAAAACATCAGGTGGCTTCTGGATTAAACGGAAAGGATATTTGTTTTCCTGTATTAAGAATTCTGTGTTCAATTCCTTTTAATTAGCCAATAATGTTGCTCTATTCAATTTTATAGTTTCATTCTCTAAGCAATATTATATTTTTAGCATAACCCAAAATGGAGATTTATATATAAATGGTTAAACTTTTCAGATTAGTGTTGTTTATTGTAGTGTTATTTTATATTTTTCTTTTATAACCATTTCAACTTGAATAATTTAATTGAATTATTTCAAACTCTATTAAATTATTATTCTGTTTCAGATATTTAATAAAATGATACATGCCTTTTTCAAATCTATCTATTATTGTAAAACATAGATTTTTTTTTCTCCTTTCAAACATATCCATTTTTTTTTTCTATAATATGCTTTAAGGGAAATATTTGTTTAGCAGTTAATCAGTTCTCTCTTATTTTGTGATTCATTTTAGGAGGAGTGGCTATATTTAATACAGAACAGGTGTGAAGTTCTGTGACCATATGTGTTGTGGATTAGTTAAAACAAATTGTTTCTAAAATGCCTTTTTTTTGGATATTCAACTATTTATATGGCCTAATTTAATCTGTTAATGTTTTAGCCTCAAACACCATCACGCTTAGTAGAAGACATAGAAGAAATCCTTCAGAAAGAACAGGGAGACCATTCAGACCACTCATATGAAACAGATTCTAATAGTAATAAACAGGTATTCAAATTGTGTGAAATACATTAAAATTGTTTATCTATTCAATACTAGGTATAATTAATATTTAACATATGGATTAATTGTGTAATTACTTACTTGTTTTTCAATTCAATTTTTGGTCTGAACTAATGTTTTTTGCAATTAAATATATATATATATATATATATATAATATATATATATATATATATATATATATATATATATATATATATATTAATGTGAACACCATTTTTTCCCTTATAACTATAGCTTTGAAATCACTTTTTTCATAAGCTAGAAACCAAATGCAACTATTCACTCTGGTGGTTGAGCAAACACACCGACACTCTCTTTATATGTATAAAGCATATTTGGACCAAATAAAAAATTAATGATAAAGCTATTGAAACAAATTTTAGTACAATTTAATCCTTAATGGGACAATAGCCATTTATGTCTCAATAACCTTAAAGCAAAAATATCCTATTCAAAATAGTTTACCTAAATTTCATTTCTATATATGTCAGAAGATGTCGACAAATATATTTAAATGTTAAGATTAGTTTGTAAGGCTCCTTTAACCAAAATTCGATTTAGGTGGGACAAAGATGATCAGTCCTCATTTGAGGCACGGACAATAGTGATGAATGTATTATTTAGTTGAAAATTCTTTTCAGTTTATCTGTTTATTGGAAGTTTTCCCCTGAAAAAAAGAAAGTTTTTTAATATCAGTGAAAATCTTATTACATTTTACATACTCTCTAAGATAATATTTGTGATTATTTGAAAAAATTTGCCCGAAAAAAGAAATATATATATACATAATTATTTATTAATTTCAGCTATTCACTTTTACTGTCATATATTAAAATAATATTTATTATAAACTTTTTCTGGTATAATCATCTTTTTATTTAATACTAATCAAAATTGGTAATATTTTTTAGATTAACAAAATTATTATATAATGCATACTTATATTTCGTAATGGTTAGTTCTTAGTTCAATCATAAAACATCTATTTTTGTAATTTTATTTTTATTTGTTTAAATTGAAGTTTTTGTTATATATTTTTAATAAATAAATGAACATAATTAATTATATATATTTATAATAAATTAAGGTGACAAAATATGTATATTTTATCTCTTAAAAAAAAATGTGGGAATATTTATATTAAATATTTTATGCCTAAATGGGAAATGACAATATATGTGCCAACCACATTTCTGGTGGAAGTTTTTTTTTTAACAATTTACAAGTGTTGTTTCTAATTGCTGGGACCAATGATATCAACATAAAAAAATGTCATCCTGTATGTGTGGGCTTACGCCTTATAAAAGATTAAACAATGAAATAAACAAATATTTATTTTAAATACCTAATAACTGTTCTCAGCGGGCACCTGGTTTTGTTTAGAATGCTATTGATATTTTGTTCCATTAGGTTAAAAAGAAAACTAATGATACTGAATTATGAAAACATTTTTTAATTTCATGTTGAAAATTATTTTAGTGCACCACTCTCATTCTCCTCTTATTATTTATTATTTTAAGTTAGGTGCAAAAACTGATGAAAAGGGTACATACAGTTCTAGATATGTAATTACTTGGTTGGTTATATTATGGAAGTAGTATCAATAAATTGAACATTAATGCTATGTGTTTTGAGTAACTTTTTTACTACTTACTGCTACATTAGCTATTCTTTATCAAGAATTTTGAAGAAAATCTCTTCACTCAAAAGGCATTTTTTTCTAATAATAAATTATAGTACTTTTGTGTGATATCTTTATAATTATATATTTTATTATAAAGATATTCTAGTATATATTTGTTCTTTTTATTATGAAATGTAGATTAGATATCAGTAAATTTTGGATTCAGCATTGTGAAATTGTCTTCCCTATTATTGTGGTAATATATGTGTATTTGCCAAATAATAATATCAGTATCTTCTTATATGAAGTTATCTCTGACTGTCCTTAATGTATTGCATTGAAAAATAAATAAGTACGCCATAAGCATGATTTTTGTGTTCTAATATTATAGTTATGTTAAAATTGTTGTTGTTAATATTAATATTGTATTAAGCACTTTGTCAATGATATTAATGAAAGATATGAAATTATTGTAGCTGCCTTATTATTTTTTTATGTTTTTCTTCTTGTAGGGCATTGAAGACAGTGGTTATTCGAGTAAACGAAAATCTAATGTTTTACATCAAGGAAAGGAAAATGCACAACCTCATAAGAGAGCTCGGAAAGCTCTTGCTTCTACATGGTCAAATTCTGGATTAGAAATGCTCAATTCATATACGGTATTTATATATATGTATATAGGATTAATTTAACTTTCCTTTTCTGTATTATGTTATTTAGCTAGTGAATATTTTGTTACACCTTTCCTCATCTTTTTAATTTTTTTTTTAACTATGTATATACTTAAATATTTATTTTAGTTGTTCGTTATGTAATTGGTCTTATGGCCAGAATTTATCTTTATTTTGCTGCACACTATTTCTACTAATATGCACTATATGATAACATACACCATTTGTTTAATAACTACCAATAATTAATTTATTTTATTTTTTACTTTATTCCAATTTATATATTGTATCTTTTGTAGCCCTGATGAATACCTACAAAGTGGGTTGAAATGTCGATGTAACCAATAAAATACTACTATAATATATAGTATTTAATTTGACAGCACTCCCAACCAACTCCTTCTCATATTTTAATCACGGTCAACCAATTGATATTATTAAAAAAAAAAAAACACTTATAACTCTCAAGTATAAGTACTTAAAATTTGTACCAAACAATCTTTGCAAAAAAACTCTTAGTTTTTTAGATGTTCTCAAGAAACTAAAAAAAAAAAAAAATACAGTTTTCTCTCATTCTGCCCCTTCCCCCATCAAAACATGACACAGGATTCTTTGGGACTTTTTACCAATTATTATGGGGAGGGCAGTAAATCATTTCTGATGTTTCATCTCTGTTTTTTTCTCTGAATATCTGAATAAGCTAATTTCTAGCCTAATTACTTTGTTATCCCATTCAGACTCGGAGACTTTAAAGTTAATAACAATAATAATAATAATAAAAGGCTTTCGATGCCGACACCACCAATTGCTTATTACACACCTCCCTTCACCGTTCGCCTTCCAAACCCTTCAGCCCTTGAACCGTTCGGCTTCAATCTTCCCACGTCCACTTCGGTCTACCTCTCGGACGTTTATCATTCGATATAGCAAATATCAACCTTTTAGGAATTCTTTTGTTACTTAGCCCAACTATTTTACAAGCCCATTTGGTTCTCCGCGATGTAATCACCTCAATCATATTAACTGGATACAGTTCATGCAACTCGGTGTTCTTTAACTTATTAATAATGCAATCAGTTCTTAGAGAATCAAATGCTTTTTCATAATATAGAAAAAGGAGACATACTGACACATTGTAATCTTTGGCTTCCTTAATTAAGTCTTTTATCACAAAAATGTGATCTACAGTAGAGTAGTTCTTCCTAAAGCCTGCCTGATGTTTTTCTAGTTCTACATCCAATTTGTCTTCTATAAGTAGGATTTTATAAAATATTTTGTATAAAACTGAGAGCAAACTTAATGGGCGATAATTATTTAAATCTCTCTTGTCTCCTTTCTTTTGTAGAATGAGTTTTGCAGTGTCCCATTCTTTAGGCATGTACTATATAAGTGAGTGAGAGCCTGCACTAGAATCTTTCCTTCAGCGTTTATGTGTGCAATTGTCAAAATGTCAACCGCTTCTGCTTCATCTTCCTTGCAACTATTAAGTACACTAATTACTTCTCCAATCATAATTTCTTCTTTTGGATCCCAGCTTTCTATATTCCACTCTGCAGTTTTATTGTTTCTTCTATCACAGTATAGTTTTTCATAATATTCTTTTAATCATCTTATCATTTAATTCTTGTCCATCTTCATTTAAAATAATAGTAATTTTGTTTTTTTAATTCCTCCTTTCAATTTTTCTCCTGTCTTGATATCTCCCTTGATTTCTTCAACCTTTCTTTCTTTCAACCAGTTCTCAATTTTTTTCCTGATTAATTTGTTGAGTTGTCTTGTATCTTGTTCATTTTTTTTTTTAATTTCTTATTTCCTCTAGAAGATTTTTTAACTTTCTTGGGAGGTTACAACAATTTTCATCTATCCTAGAGTTCTCTTCTTTAATCCGTTCCAGTGCCTTTTTAATGAATCATGGGTGATAAATATTCAGGACGCAGTCATAAAGTTTTTATTAGTGCCGACGTTTCAACCCAAACATGTGGGTCATCAATCAGGGCTGAAAATTTGTAATACAATCAGAGATATTGTATTATACGACAGATAATGGTTAATAATAAAAATATAGTGATTGATGATATATGAAATAGACATATGAAATATGTAAAAAGTTATATACAAACTAAATATAATGTATATAATCAATTTATAAAACATGTAATATTTTCTCTCACTAACCGTATTTCCAGCACTGAAGGTATTAGCATAAGGTAGATAGAACAATATTTTATCAACATTTTTTGTTATCGGTCATATAAGGATGAAAATTTTGCCAAGACATGAAATGCCGTATTTTAGTGAAATTACTCATTTCTGAGTGAAAAGTAACACTTTCCAAACTTGAACCTTCTCTAGTTTAATGTAACCGTTTTCATACCAAATCTGAACCATTATTTTTTAATTGAATTGTTTTATTATTTAATTGAAACTGTATATAATTAAGAAAATTTATATACATTTCAAAATTTTCTAAAATATTATATTTAATTTTATTTTAGTATTAAAAACAAAAATAAAATTGTGAATCTGTTAAATTGATAGAATTAGTAAGCATAAATGTTAAAATTTATTTTAAAAATGGTAAAATTGATTTAATATTCACTTTTCTTTAGCTTAAGGATTCTGATGATTCAACAGTTATAGTTACCCCTCCAAATACAAATTACTTTGATGATGATGACCTGGAGATATACGAAACACCTTCAAGTTATCTTGATACTAAGGTTAGTATTTTTTTATTTTTGTTATATGATTATTAATGATGCTTTAAGGTTTGATGATTTTTTAAAGTTATTTAAATCATTAACTTTTTTTGAGACAGGCAAATGTTTTTTTTTTTTATATATTAGATTTCAATTGAAACCATATTTTTATTAGCTTCAGTTTAGTTATTTGGATTTATATATTTACTGCATTGGTTAATTTAGTGTCCTCAGAGCATTTTATAATCCTTTAAATAATAATAATAATATATATAGACATATACGTGAAAATATGTGGTTTTGGAACCACATGTTTTTATTTATTTGTTGAAATTAACTGTCAAAAATGTAAGGGGCTGCCTTTAAAACAATGAGTTCTGTGAGAAATTTGTTATATGATTGACTATTGGTGTTGGTAAAGGGTGGGTGGATCATGTCCGCTAAATGAGCCTATTGATCCTTTTTGCCTACCCCCAATAACCAATAAATAAACTTATTATTCCTCCATTTTGAACCTTCTAGACTTCCTAATGAATGTCAGAAGAGTCATTCAACAAATAAAGCCTTATAGTCCTAAATTCTATCTGAGCTCAGCAAACGGTATCTATGGGGTGCAAATTTATCACAATCTGCTATAAAATGTAGAGTGATTTCCGGTGCTCCTTAATGGTGGTGAAAGCTCTCATCCAGGCTGTTGTGATAGAACCTCGCTGGACCGCTCTTAACGCTTATCTCCACCCGCTGCAGCCCTACTTCATTACTGTTGCTGTGCCACTTGTCTCTGAGGTGGGACATTATCTATCTTAGCTCCGGAAGTATGATGGTGTGACGAAATTGTGTGTGACACTAGTGCGATATGAGGCTCCCAAGGCAAGGACAGGAGTGGTAAATAATTGATAAATAATAATAATAATCAGCATTGATCAGAAATTATTATTTAATTACAAGTTAGTTTGTTAATTCATAATTATTTGTAAATCACTTACATAAATTCGAGTGAGAATCATCTCATTATGGACAACACGGAGGATACTAGAGTATAGGTCCAGGATGCAGAGAATTCCACAGATAGTGAGGCACATCATAAAGGAGACTCTCCCTCAGTTTTTGTTTACCCTTTGTGGAGTGAACAAGATTTTCAGAAAGCGATTAGGAATATCACAGACTGTAACTATTCAGATTCAATCAACTGAAAGGGAAGACTGTGGCTGACATTGTAAAGTCTCTTCCCCCAAAAGCCTTCCGAAAACGCCGCTAAACATATATTTATGTTGAAGGGAAGTGTGCCTTGGAATTTGGAACTTACCCTCTCCGGAGAAACTGGGGATGTAAATGCTAAGATGATAAGAACCACCAAGGCCGGAGGCATTCTCATCACAGTTGAAAACGATACCCAGGCCTCGAAGCTGATTCAATGGACAGGCCTCAGGGATAAGGGAATAGAATGACCTTGAAAAGAAGGCCCAGACTGAAAGTGAAAGAGCTTCTTCATATATGGACAGGTGCTGACCTTGAAAGGTACATCTGGGGAATGAGAGCTGATAAGTCTGCTCCCTAATTGAGCATCAAGGACTGCATCCAAGCACGATTTTTATTGGAGGCCAGAGGCGGCTTAACTGGGTTGTTGAGGTCAACCTAGTCGCCCGGTTCCGCCTATTGGAAGTGGAAACTGTCGATGGTGGGCATCCTGCTGTGCAAAATGCTTGAGGTATGGGCACACCACAGTATCATATACTTTTGGTGACAAGGTTTGTAGATGATGCGCGGCTAGTGGCCACATAGCCAAGGTGTGCCCAAGTAAGAAGAAAACAGCAGACCGGACTTATGCTAATTGTTATCATAAAAGAGCTACATCAAATCTGACCAAACACAAGGCGAGAGGCCCTATAATTGCCCAACAATCATCAAAAGTATGAATAGGATAGCTCAATATGGGCCGACGACATATTCTAGCAGATGAGCTGTGAGCTCTCGCTTCAATGCTATGATATGAGAATCAAGCTGCGGTGGGAGTAAGGTGGTAGGATTTGGTCTCATATCGAGTGTTATTGCTCTAGGCAGTGGAGAGAGGAGGCCTAGGGCTGTGATAATAATCAGTAACCCAAATCTTGATGTGATAAGTCTTGAGCAGTGTAGCAAGGCGAACAGTGTAGCATGCTACATCAGGTGAGAATTATCAGGGAGGACACAGTTGATAAATGGACCTGGCGATGGATGGCAACTCTGAAGGGGGTTACCCTAAGGAAATACTTCCCCACGGTCGGGTCACGATTAAAGGCAAGATGCTTCCTGCCGGATTATTGGGTATCTCAACTCCTCACAGGACATGGGGCCTTTTAAGCGAAGCTCATTGAACACAGGAAGTATATTGATCCCCTATGTCCCAAATGCAAGGTTCTGGTGACCGCCAAACATGTGTTCCCCCAGCTAATGACCAGAGAGAATTATCCATATTATAGGGAATTTGTATACGGGTGGAAAGTAGCTGTAGGCCCTACACATTTTAATCTGGGAAGAAGAGGACTTTAGATGAGCTATAGCTGCTTAGAAGATCGGCTTCAGATGGAAGAACGGTGAAAAGGAAAGGTATGGGCTTGTGCACAGCCCATTCACAATTCTATACCACTGTTCTCCCAATTAGAATTGTAAATTAATAAATGTTAAATAACATAAAGATTTTAATAAAATAGACTTCTGCTGCCACAACCCGTATTACCTGTAAGGCAAGGCAGGGAGGAAAAAAAAACCTTAATGTTGGCAAGTTTTGTCAACTACCATTCCTCAAATCTTCTAATAACTTCTGAGTCTGCAGTGCCCTCTAAGTATTCCAATAAGTAACAGAAGTTCACTTCTTTTCAGACCAAGCAGTCCTCTGTTCCAGAAGCAGGAGATTTGTTTAATAGTTGCTTGGCCTGTGTTAGGCTAGTGCATTCTTTTCAATCCTTTCCTGCGATTCTCCAAATCTAGTTGAAAATCTCCTTATGCTGATGACATCTGGGAATACAAATTAATGGTTCTGGTCCTAAGCGGGAGGGACCAGTGCCTTTCCTGGCTAGCTGGTCTGCCTTTTCATTGCCTTCTGTAACATCGTCACTAGGGATCCAAACCAGCTTTATCTTCTTATGTCGAGCCAAAGATTTAAAGGCCTACTTGCATTCCCACACTAGCTTGTAGGTTGTCTTATATGCTGCTAGTGCTTGGAGTACTGATCAATTATCCTAATTGATTGTAAAATCTATAAATGTAGTGGCATTAATGACAATAAGACTTCTAGTGTCTTAGTAAACACAACTGTGATGCCTATATAAGCCATTCTTTACAAATGACCAAACCAGGAAGCAGTTATAGCTATCCAGTAACACTATACTTACATAGTGAATTATAGATATTTCTATTGATATATAAATACAGTGCATTATCCATGGGTTAAAACCCAAGTTATTTAACATTATGCCTGAGTTTAAGTTTATTACCAAAGAAAATTGTCTTAAAGGTATCCAATTTTTGTTTCTTGGTAAAAAGTAGCAACTTTGTCATTGCTGGGTTGACTGATAATTGCATTTCTGTGTAATACTCTTGAATGACATAACATGCAACCTCCATACATTCAAGTATAGTACTAATGGGGTTTCCTCTAATAAGGATCTCATCATCATCATCATCAGCAAATGCGTTGATCTGCGTGTCTTCATAGGAGATATCCATGACTAGGTACATAAGCAGTTATAGGATGCAACAATTTATCTACTATAAGAGGCATAACATTCTCTCTAAAAATGTTTCAAAATTAATGTATTTGTGCTATTGAATTTTTAAAGGTAACAAAAGATCTAATAATTATTTTCATAAGATTATAATTCAATATTAATACATAAATAAAACTTTATTTAATTAGAATATAATAAAATTTGAGAGAAAGAGAAAATAACAAATACCACTATTGTTTTAAAACATTCTAGCAATGTTGAATATCTTATACTAATTTCCTTTCTGTATTTCATGCCCATGATTGCATCCCTTAATTTGAACTCAATATAATCAAACCTCAAAAATTAACTTAACAAACAAACCAATTATAATGTTTTACTCAGTGATCTGTATACACATTGATCTCACTATCATTTGCTATCAGTCATTATGCTACTTCAACTTCAATTATATTTACTAGGTGCAGGTCATGCAATTCAGCATTAAGTAGCTGTCCAAATTTTTAAGCCGATTTACCTTTCTTGAAGCAAAATATTCTACCCGCTACCATTTCCAAAAGCTATTGAACGTTTTCTTCCCTCTATGCTGCTTGTTTATTTTATGTCTAACTGGTCACATTTTGGATCCTTAAATAACATTATAATTTTCTTAGTTTCCGGATTGTTAACATGAATTGATTTTTTTTTTTTTTTATATTTCTATTTATTTCAAATTTAATTCCTTCACATTATCTATCAGTAGTATAATACATACTTGAGTATGTATCACCACCAATCAGCACCAAATAATCAGCATAGTTAAGCACTTCTTACGGTATGAATTACTTTTCTAATGACATATTACTGTACTCAATTAAATTAAAATAGAGAAAAGGAATTGTTTCATCTTAAACTTAGATAAACATCAAAACTTCTTTGAAGATGAACTACCGATTCATCTAATGTCTTCAATTCAAAGACCTTCAAATGTCTCTGAAATCTTTGTCCTGGCCAAATTAACTTGTTTCTTTGGTATTCCCTGTTATTTCAAATTCCAACACAATTTCTGATAATTAATATAAGGGGGACTGGAAAGTAATGGTGTTTTGTTACTTAAAATTTGAACACATAAATGTTTAAAGAGTTATTTTTAATCAATAGTGTAATCATCCTCATTATCTTCAAACTTGTGCCAACTAGTGTGTAAATTTTCAATGCCGGATCGATTAAAATCAATCGGTTTTTTAGCAAAATATAAAAATATGGTATTTTGGATATCATCCAATTTCGCAAATCTTTTGCCTCTTAAAAAGTGTTGATCATAATAAATTGAAATCTAATGGTGCAACATCGGGCAAGAGTGGTGGATGAAGCAGTACCTCTCACCTCAATTCATTAATTTTTTCTTGAGTTCATTTTACGCACTGCGGTATTGCATTATCTTGTTGCAGAATAACACCTTTTATGTTGACAATCGCTGGCAGCTTTTTAATTAAAGAGTTATTATGTGATCCAATTGCTCACAGAAAAGTCTGCAATCACAGTCTGTCCAGATTTCAGCACTTCAAAATGAACAACGCCACAAATACTCCACCAAATGCACAAAAGGGCCTTTTTGGGGTGTAAACCAGGGTTAGCAGTACTCTTTGGTGACTCATTTGTAGAGAGCCACTGCCTTTTGCGTTTTGGATTATCATAGAGGACTCATTTTTTATCTTCAGTAATCAAGCTATCAAAAAATACCTCTATAATCTTTATCTTGTTCCTTATTCTCCTACCCATCGCACTCAATTTTCCAACACTTGATTAGACCTCTACATAATCTGACTTGATCAAAATACTCTCCTCTTCTCAACATGCCATTCAATTTCTTTCATCACATGACCTGATCCAAATTACATATGACCTACCCGTGAAATCCTTTACTCCCAAAGGTTTCGTACCGCAATTTAAAACTTCTCTCCTATGAATCCCTTCAACCTGACCTTGATTCTTTCCAATGGGACATCATATCTTCCTATAATTCCATTGATCCAATGGTATCTACACTTACCTCAACTGGCCTGGTTACTCAACGCTATCCACTCTACTTAAAATAACCTATGACCTCCAAAACTATTGAACACCAAAACCTTACTATCCTCACCCTTTTAGAATTTTCCAAAACGTTTGATACTGTTGACCATAACATCCTTCTTTCTAAATTGCACAATCTTCCTCTATCCAACAGTGCCCTGCGTTGGTTTAAATCCTTCCTCTCAAATTGGTCCCAGTATGTAGTCGTCCCAGGTCAACCTCCATCTAAGACCCTTCCCCTCTCCTGTAGTGTCCCTCAAGGTTTCTCTCTATCTCCTACTCTGTTTGCTATTTACATTAATGACCTTCCTCTCATAATCCATCACTCCTAATACCGTATCTATGCATATGATTTCCAAATATACCTGTCCTTCCCGCCCTCTGACCTATTATCAGCCACAAAAAAACTTCAAGAAGACTTGAAAAGGATTTGTGACTGGGCGACTGCTAACAGTTTGAAGTTAAATGCAGAAAAGACGAAGGCATTCTTAGTAGGCTCAAATCATCTCCTTAAAGCTGTTCCTAATATTCCAACTCTGTTCCTACACGATAATCCCATTAAATTTTACCCCACCATCAAAAATCTTGGTCTAACCTTTGATCAAACGCTTTCCTGGAGAAACCATGTATCCAATATCTCCCGCTGTACCTTTTCCACTTTTAAATGTCTAAATTATTTCCATCACCTATTTCTCCTCCTCCTTCAATTCAAGTCCTCTGTTCGTCCCTGCAATAATCGTTCCCGCTCTTCAGATTTATACACAAGGGCCCACGGAACCGCTGCTTTTGACGGATCATTTATTATCCGATCCTCATCCCTATGGAACTCCATCCCTTCCCACATCCGTCAATTCAATACCCTTCCTACCTTTAAATCCTGCTTGTTCAATCATTTCTTATCCATCCAGTCCACATAAAATTGTAAATAGATACTACTGTAAATATTTATATAAATTATTAGATCGTTCTTAATTTTTTTTTACTTCATATTTTTTTTTTCAATTTTTAACATAGATTG